CAATGATTTTATACCATGAACCTTACTATGTTTCTTGATCACTCCAGTTCTATGGTTGAGTCTCTGGGGTTTTCTCAAGTTCTCAATTACTCTAATCCAGGTTTATGTCATTATTTTATGTCTTATCATTCCTAACATCATTTTGCTTGTTTTGAAATGCTAGGTTTGTAGTCATGATATGTTTATCGAGCCTATCTTTCTGTTGTGCTTGTATTTCTGCCAGCAATAATAGTCTGTTCCTCCTTTTCTCTTTCTATTTCTCTCTCTCTCTCTCTCTCTCTCAATTTCTTTCTCTGTCTCCCATTCCCTTTCTCTTAGGTTTGTCTTGGATTTGATCTCAGTATGTTTCTGCTGCTCATTTTTAAGTGAGATTATTTTTTCTTAACTTTTAGAATGAAGTGGAGTTTAGGATATTTTTCTAACTTCATAAATTTTCCTCTTTTGTTGTTTATATGTAATGTAAAATGTTTTAAAAAATTATTTAGTATAATAATTTACATAGGATAATATTCTAAAGTCCTAAAAAGTTATTTTGGATAATATTTAATGATATGTGAGAATATTAAAAGGATACAAAATTCTATGTATCTCATATTAGACAAAATATGTGCACATAATGAAAAACAATGTTCTTAGCAGTTTTTTCTAAGCAATATACCTTCTACATTTCCTATTCAATTATTTTCTATATTTTCCAAATTTCTAACATGGAACATGTGTACTTTTATGATTTAAAAAATATATATTATTGAAATATATACATGTTAAAAAAGAAAGTTATAGTACAAGTATTGAATGAATAGATCTAGTTCCTAGCTCTGAGGATGAGTGTTTTTTAGCCAAGCTATGGGTTTAACAGTATAAACCAGAAGCCTAGGTATTAAGAAGTAATACCTAATAATACCTTGTTTGTTGGGGGACAAGTTATCTGGCCAGTTTCATTGTGCTTTGTCTCCTACAAAAACAAACACTGTCACTCAGTGTTACAAGGGTGAAATACAAATTAAGAAAGAATTACTAAAATGACATGCCTGTAGCTCTTTAGGCAAATGCACATTACTGTAATATAACTACTGTTTAGGTTTTCTGTGAGGATACCAGAAAGTGTATAAAGTACTTAGAGAACCATGGAGAAAAGAACTTTGTAAACATAAATCATGAATTTCTTAGCATCACTTCTGTTTGTACGTGTTGCAGTATAACCTTGAATATTTGGATGCAAGTCATAACCATGTGATAACACTGGAGGGATTTAGAGGTCTGATGAAACTAAAGCACTTAGACTTGAGCTGGAATCAACTGAAGAAATCTGGTGATGAAATAAATATCTTAAGCAAACACACAGCAAACCTTCTCACTCTTGATATTCAACATAATCCATGGCAAAAGGTATATGACACTAACTACTTTACTATTCAGTCATAGGTAGATACAGGCAAACTGCCTTTGCTTTTCTAGACTTTAAGTCTTTCATAGGTTGAATCCAGTGTGGTCAAATAAATCAAGTGTTGCTATAAGAAAAGGCTATAATTTCATGTCAGATTTTTTGTAATCTCTAATAGTTTGAAAACAGTCCTGCCTGGAGTGTTTCATGACATTGTTGTTTGTAAATCTCTAGAGAGTTAATATAGCTCAGTGTGCCAGAATCCCACTGTAATGAGGCATAGCAATTAATAATAATATAATATAGTGAGAGAAGCATACTCTTAAGGAAGAAACATAATTTGATTTATAATATTTGACCTATCATTTGTGATTGGGAAACACAATTGATTTTACTTTGAATTTTTGCATTGTTTGTATTATTTGTTCTCTAAGTCCCACAATAATCTCTCCTCATAAATCTACATCATAAAGTCTTATGTTCTGTTACAAAGGAAAGTTGATTGTACATTATTTTTTCTCATCACATTACTTTCTAATGCAGATTAATGCTAAGTAATTTCCATATTCGATGACTATATTTAAGGATATTGTCAAGTATTTAAAATAAGCCCAAGTTTATAACTTTAAGAATCTTCCTTTCTCTGCTTTAAAAAACATATATTTTAAGGCTGTGTACAACATTTTTGAAAACAGACTTAAGCATGTTTGGTTCTATTAAACTGGCCATATTACTAAGTTTATATTGTTATATTTCTTTGCTTTTGTTCAGTAAAATTGAAGAGTATTTTTCTTTTGCCAAAGCAGACTTCCTAGATGATCACAGTACAAGTATCTTCCTGTTGCCAAGTTGGATGGTCACGTGCGAAAGAGCCGTACTGCACCACACATGGAGAATACTCGCTTACTGCTGATCTAGATAAATGGGAGTCACTGCAGTTGTGCTTCTAACACTTTTCTCCATAGTCACTTTCAACAGCTTATGGGACTTTCTCCCTTCATAAGAGTAGGATCATCTGCCTTCAAATGAAACATTAAGCCTTAAATATAATTTAATTTCAACTATTATTCAAAGATTTAAGTTAAGCTGCTTAGATACACACATAATAAGTAAATAGATGAATAATTTTTAATTATGGAAAGGAATGAAAAAGGACTGATATCCATGCCATAACATATAAAATATTTTGTGAAAATTAACTTTTTGCTATTTTTCCCAAGCCAGCCACATTGAGGCTAAGTGTTATTGGCAGATTAAAGACTCTTACACATTTAGATGGAATCCTCATTTCTGAAGAAGAAGTAACAGCAGCAATGAAATTTATTACTGGAACAAGGATTACTCAGGTTGGATTTTACTGTTTAATATGTCTTGTGATGTTTGGAACACACAAATAATATTGTCCATACTCTTTAACTGTGATTAAGATTTTGTATTCCTTCTTATCATGTTAATAAAAATTAATATATAGCAGTCATATCATTTGATTTTTTTTCTATTTAAATATAACACCCATTCAATTACCAGCAGCTTTTATCAATTCTCTTGATTCATCCCTGAACACTAGTCCCCCAAATACTTCTAGGGTAACTGTTTTTTCCTAGTCACCTCTCACCAGAATCCCTTATAGAGCCTATGTGAAAATAAGCAACTTTCTGAGGATTAGGTAAGCTTCCAGCCTTGAGAAAGCATTTAGTACATTATCTACTTAATATTGACATAATATGTGCCTGGCTGAAAAGAACAAAACTTAATACGGGAAGAGAAGAAATATCTTTATCCAGATTAAGAATGTTATGCTTTAGCCAAAGTAACTTCAACATCCTAAATATCTTCAGTTATCTAGCTTCTTACTTTTTGTGGGTATTTTAATATTAATTCCTTAAATAATGCAATGTTTAATTTTGGATCTGTTCAAAATGATGGAAAGAAACTTTTTATTGATAAAAACATAATTAACACCCCTGAAGATTTGGGAATTTACCCTGCTAGAAATCAAAGCCTACCTAAAATCCTTTAAGACAATGTGGTATTGGCACAGAGTGAGCCAACTAGACCAACTGAACAGAAGAAAAGGCCTAATATAGACCTATTCATCTGTGGAAACTTGACAAAGAACAGGGCTGGTTTTGCAGATCAGGGAGGCTGTTCAGTAAAAGGCATTGGGATGAGAACATTCAGGACTTCACTGTAAAATGCAAAACCACAAATGATTTTGAAGAACACATGAGAGATTATCAATATGACCTTGAGTTATCGATGAATTTATTAGGCAAGAAACAAAGAGCATAAATCATAAAAGACTGAATTTACCTACATTAAAATTAATATATCTCTCCATCAAACAAAGTGAAAAGACAAGCTACATACTGGGAAAATAAATTTGCAACAAACTAACAAAAGATATTCTTTATATATCCAAAATCTATAAGGAAAAAGACAACCAACTAAACAGAAAAATGAGCATAAGATCTGAACAGACACTTCACTGGAAAGGCAATCAGAACAGCCAAGTAACTTTGTAAAAGATACTTCACCACATTAGTATTCAAGAAAATGAACATTAAAACCACAATGACCTACCAATTTTTGCTAATTTTATGGGTTACCAAGTTGTAGCAAAGCTATGAAGTAAAGTTATATGTGTATAAACATATACACATGTAACTTGCATATACATACATATACATATACATACATATACATTTATACATATATACACACAGGCCAACAATTTTACTTAGAAGCATATACTGTAAGGAAATTCTTGAATGTATGTATCAGGAGACATGCACAGAAATATTCACAACAGCGATATTTATAATAGCTAAAATTGAATCAACCCCATGTTCATTAACAGGAGAGTTCTTAAGGGAATACCACACAGCAATGATACATGAATGAACTACCGCCACATACAGAAGCATAGATGAATATCGTGAATATGACAATAAGCAAAACAAGTCATTGACGAATACATATATGTGTTATTCAATTTGCATAAAGTTCAAATAAGTGCATGACTAAATAATATATGGTTTATGGACACAAATATAGAACAATAAAGAAAGCAAATGAATAGTAGAAATAGTTATCACTTCTAAGGAGCTTAGGATGGGACCCACAGGGAACTTGAGATTTCGGGGTACATCATATGTTAATGTCATAGTAATCCTTTCATAGTCATATAAATATTATTTTGTATTATTCAATATTTGCTAAAACAATAAAACAGAATGAATAATTAAAATGTTTTCTAGATATTGAAAATATTTTAAGGCAAGGAAATATATTTTATAATTATTTATTGGGCCTCTCATCTTCCCTAAGAAATAATACTTTTAACTATATGTAAATAAACTTGGTATGCTATTTCCTTTATTCATCATTTGTTCTGTTGTCTTATTAGTTATCTCTCTTACGGAATTCTAGTACTAAAGAGGAGAGACCACGGATACTTAGTATATGGCCTTCTGCCAAAATTCTGACACAGATCTTAAAGTTAGGACCACACTTACATCTGACTGGAAACTGGTACTTGAAGGTAAAGGTCAATGTTATTAAATCTGATCTAAAAGTTTAATTTAAATTGGTTTTTAGTCAGCATTGGTTTGTGCATCATAAAGAAGGCATAAAAGGAGCAGAAAACTTGAAGAAATGAATTAAAATAGGAAGGTAACACTTAAGATCTTCAAATTCTAAGTATACAATATAGCATTGTTAACTTTAGTTGTGTATTGTATATTAGATCTCCAGAACTTATCCTGCATAACTGAAACTTTGTGCCTCTTGACCAGTATTCTCCCACTTCCCTTTGTTCTAGTCTCTGGCAACAACCATTCTAGTCTGTGTTTATAGAGTTTGACTGTTTGAGATTTCACATACAGAGATAAGGCAGTATTTAATCCACTTTGTATACCTACGTTGGTCAAGTTTTTTACCTTCCATATAGGAGCATGTCCAGAAAGTATCCAGCCATTGTTAACATTTTTCATATTACATGGCTGTATAATTCCCAGACAACTCCTTGTATACAATTTTAAATTGTCAATTATACCTCAATAAAGTTGGAAAAAAATGAAAAACACCAATATTATCAATAGGAAAAAAGTAACAAATTTACCACATTCCTAAAAATGAGAATAGGGTGATCAAGTTGTGAGTTGGCAGGGCAGGGAGACTAGGCTTTGACTGCTGTAAACCACAAACTTGGAGATTTAGGATAAAGGAACACTACAAACTGAAGAGTAGAGTCTCAAAACATGTTGAAATAGGCAAGCAAACTTTAATGGCTCAGAGTCAGAGAGCAAGCCAGATTTTGAGTGACAAGGCATCAGGAATACTGGCAAGAGAATAGTGGAGCTGGACAGATTTCAGGTAAGGATAAGGGAAAAGGTTATAGAGGACCAGCAGCTTCTTGCTGCATTAGGTGCCCTTATACCTTTGGCCAAAGATAGAAACTGGGGCTAAGTGAAAATGACTCTTGAAAATAGAAGATATTAGTGGCATTATTTTTATTACAGGGCATATGTATAGATATTGAGCTACAATGAAGTCCTGATAACAGCCTTGGCTGATCCCACATTCTAGAATTAGAATGGCCCTTTAAATTTGTCCCAAGTTGGGCTGAAATGGTCAGGCCCTTATATCTCTCTATAATTGAGTATGGGCCAACTTGGGAAGGAGTGTGACCTTGGGTGAGGCAACTCTCTGTAGCTCTTTGGCAGTAGGGGCTGACAGCTGAAAGCTTCCTGCCAACAGCACTCTCTGCAGCTGGGACCAGTCCTTCCCTGCTGTGGGACTCTGACTGGCTTATAACATTGTCCATAATACCATACAGTCCTTTGTGGAGTTACAGTCTTGTCCCATTTTACTTTTTATAAACTAAGAGCTTCATAATATCTTCAGGTCCCTGAAGGAATTCTTTTGATGTTTACTTCTCACATTTGTGTTATTTCATTAGCCTTTTTTCAATCTTATAACATTGCTTGAATTTACTTATGGAGTACAGAAGTGATATGTACTGTGAATTACCTACAGATAACTGCCTTAAATTTAGATGGACAAAATCTCTTCGAAATCACAAATTTAGAAAAATTGGAAAATTTGAAATGGGCATCATTCAGCAATAATAACCTCACTAAAATGGAAGGGTTGGAATCTTGTGTTAATTTGGAAGAACTCACCTTAGATGGAAACTGCATCTCAAAGATAGAAGGTAAGGCACTCTAGAACTGTGAGGTCTCAAAATATGAATGTTCAAACACCTGAGCAAAAAATTAATAACACTTAGGATAGAGTTTTTGGAGAGGAAGATTCCTGAGAGGAGTTCCAAGTTTTATGGCAGAGTATTCCAAATACCTATGTGAGATAATGCAGTAATCAATTAACTAGATTTAGCCATTTCACAATGTATGTACTTAAGCCATCATGTTGTATAAGATAAACACATTTAATACAATCTGTCAAGTGAAAAATTAAAAATAAATAAAAACAAACAGGTCCCGTGAGGGGGTTTGTGATTGACTACTATAAACAATGAGCCAGAAGCTGACTGTCACCTCCTCTGCCTTTTCTCCCTTTTCATCTGTACCAGTTTACAATCTGTTACCAAACCTGGCATATACACTCTCACTGGTTGTTATATCTGCAAAGTTAAAGGAATGAGTAAAGAGGTAGTCTTTTGAAAAATATAAAGGAAATGACTTCATTTTTCAAAATATAAAATTATAGTCATATTTAGAAATTTGAAGATATTTAACAAAATGAAAATGGTCTTTATTAGAGGTTGAAAATCAAATATGCTACATATAACTTTTTGTATGGATTCAAATACAATTAAGCAGTTTTAGTAATTTATTATTAATGATATCAATATAATTTGTTTTATTCAACTACTTAAAATTTAGTATTAAATCATATCTTTCTGGGCCAAAGAGAATAATAAAGACTTGTCTTCTCTTCCTGTTTCCAAGCTTCTTAAAATCTTTACTTCTTTGGGGGTTTATGTTTAGATAAGCTGAAAATCGTGAGTTAAAAGGGCATATCCTGGGATATATTAAGTAAGATATTTTCTGACTCCTTTCCAGCTTTATTTTATTCTTACCCTCATTTAATTTAATGCTTGGAACTTGGAAAGAGATTGAAAGAAACCTTCCATGACTTGCTAACAACATTCCCTTATTCTCCCTTTATATCTATTCAAAGGGGTAACTAATTCCTAGGAATTAAAAAATAATATGCCCATGAGTGTGCACCGTTTGACTGAGAAGGGGAATATGTATACTGTAGAACCTCCATAGCTGACCTCCTCCCTACATTGACCACCTCATTAAGTTGATCGAGTTTTCATAGACTGGACATGCACCACATGTGTCAGTACATTAGGGCTAGTTCCTTATGTTGACCACCTCCGTATGTTGATTAGTTTGTTACAGGCCCTTGGGTGGTCAACTTACAGAGGTTCTACTGTGTATGTAGTCATGTATTAAAAATAAAATATCTTTAAAGACAGCATGTATAACATTTGTTACATTTATTTTAATGGCTACTAATAATATGTTTCTAAACCTCTCGAGAGCTCTTTTGATTTCAGTTAAATAAACCTGACGTTTGCTCAGGCACTTGATTCCAAAACCATAACCAGTCTTTTGGCCCCATACAGTTGGGAGTTAGTTTTGCTTTATATATACATTGAAAACCCTACTTTTCACTTCCCTCTATAAATCTACCAAAGGGAAGGAACCCTCCAATCTGTATTTTTCTTATACCTGCTTTTCATAAAAGAAGCTACTCCTTTAAACTTTAACAGAAATTTCTCTCTCTTTTTTTTTTTCACCAGACGTGAGTAAGTTCAATATCCATTGAATGATTTTTGCTTTGATGTCTCACCCTCCATGGTTTACTTTCAGCATTACACAGTCCCACCATAGGGCCTGTCATGAAAGGGGAGCACAGATAAAATTTATAGAGGAACAATTATTTGCCAAAAGTTATAACTGATAGCTTTTAAACATTATTCCATTTAATTTCATGGACCATTGGAAGATTTCACTATACCACTTTATAGATGAGAAAGTCAGGCTCAGAGGTTACATAATTTACCTATGGTTCCTAATTCAATGGTGATACATTTGAAACCAACTCTGTCTCTAAAGTTCTTATCTTTTAACTGTGCCATCCTCCCTAAAACTAGTTATAAAAAACCTACAATATAATGTACATAAGATTTAGACTGTGGGAAGAGGTCCTATGTTCTAAACTTATCTTAGGGTACACCTAAGCATACAAAGGTACAATTAGTCTAACTCTAAATGGTTCTTTTTGACAAATGATACCATAATCAGGACTACTTTCCAGAGGGTTGCAATCTAGTTCCTTGAGGGCTGATGATTACTTGGAGTTTGTAGAGCTTGGAGTTGTGTTTCATGATGATGAAAATCTTAATGTAAAGGTTATTTTAAAGAGAAATTTAATATTTTCTATATAATGACTTTCATTAACCCCTACCAAGAATAAATCTACTTGGAAATTAAAAAGTAGAATATAATGTATGAGAATTTGTACACAAGATTATATCCTTCTGGAACAAAATATAAAACAATGATTAATGTTATAGAATTTTTAAAGCTACTTGCACTTAGGCATTTGATTCACAATAAAATGACCAACCAATTATTTTTTAAATTAAACTTTTAGTGCTATCTGAATCTTTTCTTGAATTTGCTTATTTTTCTAGGGATTTCCAAGCTGACCAAATTAACCAGACTCAGCATAAATAATAATCTTCTTACTGGTTTGGAAAAGCATACTTTTGATAACATGCTTCATCTTCACTCCCTTTCTCTTGAGAACAACAGAATCACTTCATTGAGTGGTTTACAAAAAATTTTTACTCTAGTTGAATTATACACAAGCAATAACTATATTGCTGTCAACCAGGAAATCTACAATTTAAAGGTGATCATCTGGGGTAGTAATTTCTGTTTTTTTAAAAAATATTTTATTGTTTCTTTATACTATTAAGATAATAAAAAGAAAATTAAGAATAACAAGATTTATTAAAATGTATTTACATTCAACTTAAGTATATATACAAATATACATATGTGTGCGTAACTATAATGCTCCCAATTTAAGAACCTTATGGGGTAACTTTTTTTTAAATATTTAAGTAAAATAACACTAAACCATGCCTCCTAACCTAATGCCCTCTTCAATTTTCCTTCCTTCCTCCCTTCCCTTCCCTTCCCTTTCCTCTCTTTCTTTCTTTTCTTTTCCTTCCTTTCTTTCTCTCTCTCTCTTTTTCCTTTCTTTTCTTTTCTTTTCTTTTCACAGAGTCTCCCTCTGTCACCCTGGGTAAACTGCCATAGTGTCGTAGCTTATAGCAATTTCAAACTCTGGCTCAAGCAATCCTCTTGCCTCAGTCTCTCAAGTAGCTGGTACAACACACTGCTAGTTTTTTGTTTTGTTTTTTAGTAGAGATGGAGGGCTCATTCTTGCTCAGGCTGGTTTTGAACTCCTGTGCTCAAGCAATCCTCCTACTTTGGCCTCCGGAGTGCTAGGATTACAGGCATCAGCCACTGTGCCTCGACTCCTCTTCAGTATTTCTAAGGCATTTCCAACATAGTTGGGGAGTAGGATTCTTTAACATTCTCCAGTTCTCAATAAAATTCTTGACTATTTCTCACTGTTCTTACTAGTGGCCCAAACTCAAGTCATTTTTGTTCAGATTTGCTTTCTTTAATTCTCCTAAAGAAACCACCAATTCAAGACTACTGTGTAACAGGATTTACTAAAAGTTTGAATGAAGTAGGGGGTTTCTAATGCATAGAATAGGAATTTTCTTCAAATGTGCTGTATGGCTTCATTGTTTCTGAAGTTCAGTGGCCATTTCCTAACACCGAGTCTTATACTGGCCTCTTCTTTTGCTGATACCATAGCGCCAGAGCTTTATCTCCTACTAAAAACTTGTGTCCATTTCCTGTTTTTCCTTATGTTCAGCCTTCTCCCCATCCTATTCCCCCAATATAACTAAGCAACCTAATCAACAATTTCAACAACAAAATAAGCCACTTTACATTATGTTGCACAGTAGTTTTATTCAGTCCTGTTTTAACCTCCCCCTTCCACACCTACACAGGACCTTCCTTCACAACAAAGGCATACAAACTGTCCGGTCTAATAAGAAAGCACATTTTTCCTTGAGATGAATTTTGCTACCCTCTCAGAAGGCAGAAGCACTTTGGTTTTATCTCTTTTCAAATGACAGTGTCTTTTATTCCTGTTATATATATACATATATGTATGTATATACATATATAGACATATGTAGACATATATATACGTACATACACACACACACACGTACACATACCATTTAATAGGCCATTACTCCATAAACAAAGGATATCATTTTAAACATAGCAAAGTTCTCTGGAATCCACCGGTACAGAATACATTTGGCACTAATATCATAAAAGCTATTCTGATCATATAACATAGACTATTAAAATATTGTACAAAATGAATACCTTAGTGGTCTAAAATTGTGTAACCCTTGCACTTCAAAATATACTAAAAAGCACTCAAATCTTCCAAAATGATAGATAATTCAGATATTAAAATTCAAGGATGGTTAACATCTTAAAGAAAATGAAAACTTAATGGTATGATTTATAAATACATGTATAAAGTGCATATTTTTATTACCCAGGGTTTATGTAACTTGGTCATTCTAGACATGTACGGAAACATTATTGTATGGAATCAAGAAAACTACCGCTTGTTTGTCATATTTCATCTTCCAGAACTAAAAGCTTTGGATGGAATCTCAATCGTAAGTTGTTTTATGACTCATAGCATTTAGTTCAAGTGCATATTCATGGATCCATATGTCATAATCATTTTGAACATTGCTTTATCACTAGCATGATACCTAAACATACTATACTTATTAAAATCCAGGTCTCCAAAGCTCATTTTAGTTTAGATCCAGGTTTTAAATTTTTCTAACTTGGCTAATTCTTAATTGTCTAAAATTGAGGTGGATGGGGAGGGAAAATGCTGCTTATTGCTGAACCTGCTGAATTCAATGCCTCAAAAGTAAACAGTATAATTTTATGAAACAGGATAGAAAAACTATGCTCTGGAGTTCTCCTATCCTCTTGGGCCTGAAAACAGCTGCCTGGCCAGGTGACATGGCACACACCTGTAATCTTAGTACTCTGGGAGGCTAAAGTGGGAGGATTGCTTGAGCTCAGGAGTTTGAGACCAGCCTGAGTGAGAATCCATCTATACTAAAAATAGAAAAGCCACCCAGGCATTGTGGCAGGCACCTGTAGTCCCAGCTACTTAAGAGACTAAGGAAAGAGGATCACTTGAGTCCAAGAGTTTGAGTTTGTTGTGAGCTATGATGATGCCAAGGCACTCTGTCCAGGATGATAGAGTGAGACTCTGTCTCAAAAAAAAAAAAAAAGCCAGCTTCCTATTTTCTGGAAAAACTACAGTTGTTGATAATTAAGAAAAATATTTTCCAACCAAAAAGGATAGTAAACTGTAAAGAAAAATAAACACAGAATGTAGGACTAAATGTGAAACAACATTTGGAATTTGAATTCTATAACAAGCAAGTTTATATAGAGCTCCTAATTTCTGCGAAACAGGGTAAATACATGAAAAAATGTGTGAAGAATAAAAGGTTTCCCTGTGTAAAGTTGCCTAGCTCCTGACTAGTAAAAATCACTAAATTTTCTTGAAAACTGAACAACAGTTCATGGTTATTTGATAATCTTATATACTCTGAAGAAATCAGTAATCCCAGCCGTATATTTTTCAGGACTCTCCCAGAACAGAAACTAAAACATTCTCCAACATATACAAGCTCCTTAGAATCTTACATAATGGGTTTTTACTTAGTTGCAATATGGTCCATAGGTGTGGTCCCCCTACTAACCCTCCCTCTATCAACCCACCCTCCTTCCCCTATCCCCTTCCTTCCTTCATCCTAGGCTATAGTTGTGTTTCATTTTTCATATGCAAGTATAAGTGATTATAAATTGGTTTCACAGTAGTACTGAGTACATTGGATAATTTTTTCCATTCCTGAGATACTTTACTAAGAAGAATATTTTCCAGCTCCATCCATGTAAACACAAAAGAGGTAAAGTCTCCATTTTTTTAATGCTACATAGTATTCCATGGTATACATATACCACAATTTATTAATCCATTCATGGGTCAATGGGCACTTGGGATTCTTCCATGACGTGGTGATTATGAATTGAGCTGCAGTGAATAATCTAGTGCAAATATCTTTATTGCCAAATGATTTTTGGTCCTTTGGATATACACCTAGAAGAGGAATTGCAGGATCAAATGGCAGGTCTACATGTTGATCCCTGAGTGTTCTCCAAACTTCCTTCCAAAAGGAACGTACTAGCTTGATTCCCACCAGCAGTACAGATGTGTTCCCTTTTTTCCACATCCACACCAACATCTGTAGTTTCGGGATTTTGTGATTTGGGCCACTTTTACTGGAGTTAGATGGTATCTCAGAGTGGTTTTGGTTTGCATTTCTCCGATGATTAAAGATGATGAGTGTTTTTTCATGTGTCTGTAGACCATGTGCCTAGATAGTGGTTTTTAACTACTACTAATTTCTACCTTTTAATTGATGAATGGAGACTATTTACATTTAATGTAGTTTACTGACATGGTAAGGCTTAAGTTTGGCATTTAAAAAAATTTTATGTTTTCTCCTGTTTACTGTTTTTCTGTTTTCTTTTCTATGCCTTCTTGTGGGCTACTTAAACAATTTTTAGAATTCTATTTTTGTTTATCTATGGCTTTTAGTGTATCTTCATACAGATTTGTTTGTGATCATTCCAAGTATTACAATACACATAGATAACTTATTATAATCTACTGGTGTTCACATTTTTACCAGTGAATGAAGTGCAGATATCTTACTTGCCTTTAAGTCTATTTCTCCTTCCCTGTTTATAATTATCTTAAATATTTCCTCCATATATGGAAAACCACATCAGATAATATTATACTTTTTTACTTTAACAAATCAAAGATAATTTAGAAAGCCCAAGAGAAGAAAAGTTTATTAATATGCTTTTCATTATGTTTTCTTCTTTCTTAGTATTTCAAGACCTCTTTTTCTTCTTTCTCTTTTTTTTATCTTGTTTCAAGCACTTCTTTAGCCATCTTTTAGGGTAGGTCTGCTGGTAACTGCTTAGGTTTTTTGTTTTTAATCTTGAGTTCCCCTTTCATTTTTGAATGATACTTCCTCTAGATATAAGATTTTGAGTTGACATTTCACTTTCACAAAAATGTCTGTCATGTTCTCTGATTTCCTTGGTTTCTGGTTAGAAAGCTTCTTTCATTCAAATTATTTTCCCCTTACAGGTAAAATTTCATTCCTCTCTCAATGCTTTCATGATTTTTCCTGTCATTAGTTTTCATAAATTTGATTATGATTCTGATTATGGGTTCTCTCACAGATATGGGAGGTTTCCTGCTTGGGGGTTGCTCAGCTTTTTGAATTTTACTGTAAGCTTATGTCTTTTACCTAATTTAGGAGAATTTAGGAGATTTTTAGCTGTTATTTGTTCAAATAGTTTCTGAGTCCCCCCTCCCCCATTTCTCCTCTCTTCTGTAAATACAGTGATATCATCACTAAATCTTTTGTTATGATCCCACAAGTCCAGGATATGATCTATCTTGGTGTTCTGATTTGGACAGACCAGAGAGTAACTTAGGGACTGAAGGCAGGTGCAACATGCTTTATTTAGCTCATGGCAGCGGTGAGCTACATGAGAGGTCTATCTACCCTTATCCAGCTTGTGGCAGCTGGTGAACTGAGGTACA